ACAGCACTCACGGATATACTTAGAACTCAGCGAGGAAACGGTCAGTGGCCCAATATAAAAATAGGCAAAGAACAGGTATGAACAGGTATAAACAATAAGTCACAGAAGAGGAAACCAAATGCGTGTTATAACAAAATTCGAGTAACAAGTGCTCAGCTTCCTTAGCAGATAGGGAAATTAAATTTCAAGTCATATCGTGTCCCACACCTATCAGGCTGGCAAAACTGCACAAGTCTGAGAGCCAAGGGTCTAGCTAGTAAAGGTGTCAATTGCTACAGCCACCTTGGAAAGCAAAATCTGCTCAAAATTAGAGATGTTCACTCCCCAGAAATCCCTCTTTTTGATAAGATCTATACCCTACCGAAAGTTTTAGGCTTCCCGACAAGATATACGAGAATGTTTGTGCCAGCGGTGTTTACAGAAACATAAAAAAACCCACTCATCAACATAGATGAATAAACTGGCACATTAATTGCATGAAATGCAGCTAAAATTAATGAGCTAATCTTCAAGTATCAATATACATAAATTTCAAAACACCATGTTAAGGGTGGGGAGGGGAGACCAAGTTGCAGAATGATATGTTAATTGTGATAGCGTTTCTATAATTTATGAAAATATACTGAAACAGTGCTGTTTGTTGCGTATGGATGTATACAGTGTGGTGAAAGTGTAAGGACTGTGTATTAGTCTAGGTACTTTAGAGAAACAAATCCACAGCAACTCATGTATAAGAGAGTTTTATGTAAAGAAAGTGTGCATCACGAAAACATCCCAACCCAATGCTGCCCAAGCCCACAAGTCCAACATTAACCCATTAACCCAACACCAGTCCACAAAGTCCTCCACCTCACAAAACAGAGGCAATGATGCCGACTGCAGGAGGAAAGCTGAGTCAGTGAAACGAATAAGCACCAGCTTATTCAGCACTAGCAGGGGTCTCAACAGGGCTGCTCCAGCACCCAGGGCTGCATCGGGATAGGTCCCTGTGGGGATGTTTGTAGGAAGTCAATCTTGCAAGCTGAAGCAGGGAACTGCTAAGGCAGCTGCACCCGGTGCAACCATCACAAAGCAAGAAACCCGAGAACTAGAAAGGCGAGGCTCACCACCCATTTATCCCTCTGCCTTTCAGTTAGCCCCACATGTGATTATCAGCCAGGCTGGCACAATTAACTAACTCAGACAGGTAGGGATTTGTTAGTTGCAGCCTCAAGATAGAAGTGTGCACAGAAGTTAGAACAAGCACTTACACAGCTATGAGACAGTATTGTCATTTGTTACAACGGGGGCTAGTATTTAGGTGTGGACAAGGCTGCTTCATGTTGGTTTTTGTGTGCATGTAATCAACATTGCTCTTTTTAGAAGGCCTGGATTATTTCTGACTGGTAAAAGCAAGGTGGTCCCCCCCCCCCCATTTATTTTTAACAGTCATGCTGTGTTGTTTACAGCAAACATATTTCTTAATAGTAAAAGCACTTTTTTAAAAAGGCAAGAGAATTGTCTGGTGCTAGGGATTGAGGTTGGGTGGACAGTGTGCCAGCAGGGAGAACCTAGAGGAATTTTTAGCAGTAGTCCAAGAGAGAGTACTGAGAAGTGGTGGGAGGGCACGGAACCCAAGATGAAACCTGTCAAGTTCCACTTCGGTTAGGATGCCGAGAATTTCCAGGCACCACCACTTTCACGGTAATAACCAGTGCGGGTTTGGGAACACACCAGAGACTTGTGAGTGCAAAAGACGCCTGAATGAATGAAACCTTAGGAAATGTTGAGCTCCTCAGAGGCGAGAAGACATGCAGAGCCCGCTCCGATCCCTGGCCAAGCGGTCAGAGGAGGAAGACTCTGTCCTTTCATGACTGGGCAGTGGGACAGGTTAGAATCTGAGGTGCCCCAGTTAATGCAAGGCTGATCTCTCTCCTTGTGTGCTTTCCCAAAGGCCTTTTCAAGTGTTCAGAGACAGTGCGTCAACACTGGGTAGCAGGGTGGGAAAACTACCTGCCCTGCTCCCCAGTGTTTCTCCAAGGCATCAAGTGACTTCTCTGACCGAGCACAAGACCTTCTGTTGGGTGGGAAAAGGGCCAGGACAGAGGGCAGGATTGGCTGGAGAAATCCATCTGAAGCACTCTAGACTGTCAGCTGCCACTCGGTATGGGTAGAATAAACTCACTGCCGCCGAGTCGATGCCGACTCACAGCAAGGTAGAACTGCCCTGTGGGTTTCTGAGACTATAACGCTTTAGGGGAGTAGAAAGCTCTGTCTGTCTTCTGAGGAGCGACTGGCAGTTTCGAACTGTTACCCTTACCGTCAGCAGGCGAACTCACAATTACTATGCCACTAGGGCTCCTTCCAGAGGTGAGGGTAGAATAGGAGAACTGAGAATTGTAGTAAAAATCACAATAGAAAAATTAAATTGGAATATGAAAATGTTTAAATAATCTGGGAAGGAAAAACAGGAACATAAAAGTGGTGAAAGAAAGAGGAAACAAAACAGTAGATTTAAATTCAAACTTATTAATAAGGGCTTGAAATGTAAATGATCTAAGCACCAATTGAAATCTGAGCTGAAGTTCTCTTTGGTGCTAGTACAGCCGCTTCAGCTCTCATTCGATTGGTCTTTGCGTGGCACACACCTAGGAAAGGATGGGGAAATGTGTGTGTGCCACGCAAAGACGAGTCAGAAGAAAGCTGAAGTGGCTGTGTTAGCACCAAAGTGGACTTCAGAGCAGAGCAAAGTATCGTGGACTAAGGGGGTCTTTGTATACGATAAAAGGGCCAGTTCAGGGGCGGAAACACCATGATCCTAATTGTGTGTGTTCTTAACAACAGGCCACCAAAATACGTGCAACAAAACTAGAGAAATAGATCCACAATTAGGCTTGGAGACTTCAACACTTCTCTCTCAGTATTGGATAGAAGTACACCCACCCACTACTGCCAAGTCATTTCCAGCTCACAGAGGTGGAAAATCAGGATATAGAAAACCCGAACGTCATCATTAACCAGTCATACTTAATGGACCCTTGTAGAACATTTCATACGTCAGCAGATGCCACAGTCTTTTCAAGTGCACATGTAACATCAATGCAGTGAGTTGTCTGACTAAAACCCATTGCCAAACAATAGTAAGAAAAGCCCTAACACTTGAGAATTAAACACCACAAATCTAAACAATTCATAGGTTAAAAAGGAAGTCGCAGGAATTAGAAAATATTTTAGGCTGAACGAAAATATATGTAAGCCATTTTATTCAGTGAATAAAAGAAATTGTCCAAGATAACAAATAATTCCTTCCTGCAATCACTCTCATTTTTATGAACTAGCTGTACCACGAGACCTTTTAAAAAATATACATAATCTGCAATATATCTAAACCAGTTTGAAAAACATTAGCATAGTTTCAAGTTTGGGTTCTGTCTTTCTAACATAAAGAATCCAACCATATTTATGATGCAATTTGAAACGGAGTATTCTATTTCATCTGCACATCCATCTTTGTTAATTGCTGAGGAGCTGTTATAAGTATGTTATACAACGCTTCCCCAATTCCTACTGTGCATGTCAACTGTGATTTCTTGGATTTCAGTTCAGAAGATACAGATGGTTCAACTTCATAAATATAAAGTTTAATTGATTATTATCCCCTTCTTTTACATCAACCCTCTACTTATTTTTACTTTTTAGCTTCCCTCATTTAAACCTTGTGGTTCATTTGTATAATTATTGGAAAAGATGTTTGTTTATACTAATGATTATTGTTTAATAAAAAAGGGCTGATAGGTGAATGCCTAAAATTCGTAGGCACATACTTAGTAGTCTGTATCACCAGGGGATTCGGTCATTATGACCTGTTCTTTTTGAGTCTGTGCGTTTATTATGCACACGCACAGATTTGAGAGTGGGTTCCCTGGGCCACACGCTCAGGAGACAGCAGTCGTTTTGATTTTCAGCTCTAGCAGTCTTCGTAACCAGCCTGCACACGCCTGGGGGTCTGTCCCTCAGGGAGAGTCTGGCCACAGATAAGACAGGCATTTAGACGGTTGGCTTTGCTGCTCATCCCTTAATTTAATGGCCTAGACAAGGTAATTGCAAATGCACTGATTAAACTCCCACTTGACACAGAATTCCTTACTATGGTTAATAGCCTAGCAGATCAGAATCAGATGAAAAATTATCTTGGCCACTTTAAAGTGGAGTCAAATGAAAGATGAATATAACATTTATTAGAGATAAGAGACAATAAAAATATAAGAAAATGATGAGCTAGGTTGAAGTTTTACCTCTGACCTTCAGAAATGCTTATAGCCTGGGGTGGAGAGGTGGGTGACTTTACACCCATGGTGCTTATTTCCACACTGTTCCCCATTCCATTTCCCTGAAGATATCTGCTTGGGCTGTTTTATTTTCCCCCAAATAATCCTGTTATTACTGTACCAATTCTCTCTTTTAATCCAACTTCCAGTTCGTGATTTGAAATGCTAGCAATCCTGATAAAAGAAAAAGTGCATAGGATCCTAACTGAATACCAGCTTTAAAGGAACTATCAAATATATTGTTACAGTAGAAAGAAAAAGGCAGTCAAAAGCCACTTTTACTCTGTAACAAGTTAAATGATCACTTAAGCTCTAACAGAGAATTTCCCTTGACATGTGACCTGTGTGCTAGGAGCAGCGGGGAGTGCTGTCGCTCTGGGCGTGGTTTCTCCTGCGGCCGGACTAAGAGGGGAGGCCCTACGGGCCCTCCATTTTGTTGGCAGCGCACTCAGTAGAAACCACAGGTGATGTTCTCAGTCCAAGGACTACGCAGCAAGGTCCACATCTGAGTTTTGAGTTCAAGTCTCTTGTCACCATGTCCAAAGCCCAGCTACTTCAAGGGCAGTCGTCCCAGCCACTGCGGAGAATATTCTTTACATTTCTACTGAGCGTACTGGGGTTGCTGTGGTCTGAAAAGGGAGGAGGGTGGGCTAAGGAGCCTGGATTGATCAAGTGTCTGCTTCCCTTATGCAGTATGAACCGCGAGGACCAGGCCGGCCCCTGTACCAAAGGAGAATCTCCTCGTGCTCAGTGCAGGCTTGTTCTGATGACGCCCGCGCACCTCAAGATGGCCTCGCCCAGGGTAAAGAGCTTCAGGACCACAATCACCAGGCTTCCTTCAACTTCTCGTCCCCGGAGTCCTGGGCAAACACCACCTCAGCTGCCCCCTACCAGAACATTCCGTGCAATGGACCCAGCAGGACAGCCCCACCCAGAGAGTTGATAGGTATGGCAGGGCTTGAGGGGTGGCCAAAACATTGCCATTTACAATACTTGGCTCCTGTATGGTTATGAAGTTTTTCTTCTGCCACCGTGACACCCCTTCCCCCACCCATTTATTTGACTTGTTTCTAACTATTTAATGTACATCACTTATAGGCTTGCCTCAGGCAAGCATACTTCATTTAGGACTGTGAATTCCACGTGTGTGGCCTAGAAGGTAAGTCGTTTCGTTCATGCCTGATCATTTTGAATCGTGACTAAATGGAAAAAGTCTTGCTTCCTACAGCTAAGTAGATAGAATGACCTTTGTTTGAGAAAGCTGGTTGGTTGGTTTCTCCAGGATTGAGATGGGAGTTAGTAAAATGAATACAAGCCGTTTTATGAAAATTTGTTGCCAATAGCGTTGTTGGTGATTTGCTCGTAATAACAGAGTTTGGCCATGAGAGAGACTGCTCACTTCTAATGGTGTGAAATGTACAACCCTTGTGTTTACTCCCTGTACTCTAACAAAACTGAGAAGCCCACAAGGCCATGGCGAAAGGGGGTTGGGGAAACATAGGAAGAGGTAGGAATGAGCAGGCATTCCAAACTGCTCTTGGATGGTAGTCTTTTTCTTTAGCCTTGACCTTGAATGTACTTGTACCTTTGATTTGTTTCTCCCTTTTGGATGTAAAGAAAGTATCTGTGGTATTATCTGAGGTCTTTAGTGCCAGGCTGTTCATGAGCTGTAAACCTTGACCTTTGCAACCAGGTATGTAGTCTGTGCATGGTGAACTTCTGCCCTGGTAGCACAGCAGTGTTTGTATTTGAAATTAATTTCATCCATTTGTAGACTATGAGTTCATAGTTCTTGTAGCTGACCTGTTTTTCTGTATATTCCTTTTAAGCATGTTTTTAGAATAATATACATGGTAGAGAGGGGGGCGGGGGTGCTTATTAAAAATGGTTGTTTCCTGGCAAGCTAAAGTGTTGTTTGACTCTTTCAACATTATTAGTGGTATCTACTACCATTACAGGTAGACCCGAGCCTTGGTGGTGCAGTGCTTAAGTGTTCACCAGCTTACCAAAGGTTGGCAACCAACCCTACCAGGGCCTCTGGAAGGACGGCTTGGCTGTCTGCTTCCACACAGATTTACAGCCACGGAACCCTTGGGGACAGGCCTCTGCCCTGACAGAGTGGCAGTGAGAGCAAACAGACTCAGTGGCAGTGGGCTATTTTTGTATGGGCTGCTGTACTTTGATTGAGATCATGTTGCCATTTTAAACATCTAACATAAATATAAGGAGTCCTGGTGGCATGGTGGGTTACATGTTGGGCCACTAGCCACAAGGTCAGCAATTGAAGCCACATGCTGCTCCTCGGGAGAAAGAGGCTCTCTCCTCCCATAAAGAGTGATGGTCTGGGAACCCCGTGCGGGCAGCTGTGCCCTGTCCTCTAGGGTCATGATGAGCCAGACTGGACATGATGGCAGTGAGTATAGTATATCTACTCTCAGCAGCATCTGAGTTGCTTGAGAAACCTCCAAATTACAAGTCATTCTCTCCCTGGCTCCCTCTCCCTCCAAGCCCCTTTGCTACCCATTGGCCCTCATTTGGCACTTGATCATGCCACCTCTATTACTATTGAACCAGGCTGTGGGCTTACATCTCCACAATAAAATCTGAGTTCATAAAGGGCCACTCTTAGCAACTGTTTGGAGCATAATAGTAAGTGCTCAGTAAATGTTTGTTGACTTGAATTGAGGTGGTAATTTCAGGTTTGGGAAAGGTAAACGGGCAGATTCCTGCCTGATAAAGAAAGCAGAGGGCAGAGCCTGGGGACACTTAGACCCCTGAGAGGGGAGCTTAGAGCGACTCCTGGCAGATGGTTGAGGCAGTGCAGCTTTGCTGCAAGAACCCCCTGCAGTGCTAGCTCAGGGACAGACTCACCTGTGCCAAAGAATGTAGCATGGAATGAAAGGAAGATCAGCATGGGGAAAATCGGTTATTCACGAAACGATACAGGTAATAACCCAAGCTTATTTCTTTACCTTGTGCTACTTAAAAAAAAAAGGGGGAATAAAACCCAGAGATGATCAAAGATCATAATCAAAAGCATGAAATCACAAAGGATGTAGGGAGAAGGTAGAATATTTATCTGACTGCATAAAGGAAACAGTTCATAGATTGGTCTACATAAGGTTGTTGACAAAGTGGAGCTATCGTAAATGAAAAGGGAACTCAAAGTAGACAAGAATATTTGCGACATTAGGACAAAGGATTAGTATCCTTCACGTGTAAAAAGCTCGTACAAAACAAGCAATAGGACAGACTGTCTGATGGAATAATGGACAAAGGTTTTGTCTAGGACTCTAGGCAGTCCTCAAAAGGGAAGTAAACATAGGGGACAATGTTTATCAACACCAGCAATCAAAGAAGTACACATTGAAGTACAACAAGATAATTGAGAGATAGACTGTTGTAGAAGATGCACATGTCACTGTGGTTAGGGGCAGTGGGTGGTGTGAGCCCCCTCCCTGGTGGGCAGATCTCTTGTGCTTTGACCTGAGTAGGAAACAGATCCAAGTGCCTTCCTTCACAGGTGGTGGCCAACCGCTCCTTAAAAACCATTCTAAGAGGCACAGTCCACCACCGTCTTTGAGCTTGGGCAGTGCTGGCTGTTTCCTACTCGGGTCAGAATCCGAGGCACAAGATTTTGGTTGCTGTGCAAAACATACTCATTCCTTGTTTCCATTAGCTATTACTGGGCCATTTTGAATCTAATTGAAGCCCTAAAAGGGCCACACATGCAAAGCAGTCAAAGCTTTGAGAAGGGCGCCGCCGTCTTTGAGTGGGCCACTGCTGCCACCGTCTTTGAGCGGGCTACTGCTAAGCTTGCGTTTCATTGGCCAGGACTGCACAGGGATTTCATAGCCCTGTTTGAAATGATTGAACCAACCCCCCTACTTGTGAAACAAATGCTTCATTGCTTGGTTACCTGTGTACCCTTTAAGTCATAGAGAAGGTTCCCAGCCTTTACCTGCACTGAAGCCAGGCAAAATAAGAACCGTCTGCGCCTGTTCAACGGATCCACACCTTCTTAAGACACAGTTAGGACTGGCCAGCTCACCACTCAGGATCTGCCTGTTCTCTGTGGTAAATGATGTGCATTGGCAAAAATACACCAGGTTGAGGCTTACATGAATATGTATTATGCTAATAAGCCAATAAAATGTTATTGCTGTTTTTAAGAGATTGAAAACAAAACAATATTTGACAAGATAAAATAGTGAACATCAGTGGGTGATGAAATCGGTTTGAAAGGGTGGAGGCAATTTTTGAAGGCCTTTAAACATGAAGCCAGTTAGAGGAAAGGATGTGAACTTTCCCATTAACATCGTATTCCATGGTTCCTACAAAAAGGGTGGCATTTGTAACGAGTTGGAATCCCATGGCTCTATTGTGTCGGAATCCCATGGCTCTATTGTGTCGAATAATTGGAAGCGCCATTTTCCCAGAGGTCTGTATCTAGAGCTGCTTTTTGATGAAGAAAATTCTCGTCTTCGAACTATGACCAGTTAATAATAATAATAGAGTATAGCAAAGTATTATAACGGTTAGTATAATAAATAGTAAATCATACACTTGTACATTGGCTTAGCAAGCATTCTACTGAGACCTAAAGTTCCTATCAGTTAGCTGTTCCAGTTCCGGCGGGGACTTCTTTTGTGGGCGTGTTTCTTAGACGGTGACGTTTGTTTCATTCAGCTGTGTTGTGTGTCAACATAAGGTGGTAGAGAGAGAAGTTGTCCTTGGGGTTGTCCTGTCACTGAGTGACCCAAAGTGTGAGAACCGGTCGTGACACCCTGAGTTAATCAAGGTGTCCGCATACTACAGCCCACCTCCCTGAAAACCAGTGTTTCTGCTTCTTGCTTTTAGCTCCTCCCAAGACTGTCAAACCCCCCGAGGAACAACTGAAGTCTGAGAGCCTGGAGCTGTCCAGTTCCTTCAACTACAACGTGCTGCAGCATCTTGGCCAGTTCCCACCCCTCATGCCCAACAAGCAGCTCGCGGAGTCGGCCAGCAGCAGTAGCCAGCAAAGCTCTGTGGGCAGCAAGCCCGCCATGTCCTATGCCAGCGCTCTGCGGGCTCCCCCAAAGCCCAGACCCCCTCCGGAGCAGACGAAGAAGAGCAGCGACCCCCTGTCTCTGTTCCAGGAACTCAGTCTGGGCAGCTCCTCCGGAAGCAATGGCTTTTACTCCTATTTTAAATGATCACTTTTCCCCCTCAAAGGAAAATGTTTTCATTTCTGTTTGTATTCGTAGACTTAGACTAGCTGAACTTCATCTGTAGCTGCACAGTTCCCTTTGTTTTTAATATTAAATATGTTCTCACTTAATTGCTTTGCTGCTAGACTTGCAACTAATTTTTAAAAAGTATATTCCATTATTTTGCATTTTGATGTGTCAGGATTTTGACAGCTTTTCTGTAGAATAAAAAATATTTTTAAATTTGTGTACTGTTAAATATGTTTGCACCAAGCTAGCAGCTAAGAGGTTAATTGTGCAACTATTAAAAAAGAAAAAAAAAAAGAGATTAAGAGGAAAAAAGTTTGTCTAAAATGTATTTAAAAAGAAAAAAAAATTGTAAGTAGCATTTACCTTTATTCAATAATATTACCACGTGCTGGGTTTCTGTACCAGAAATGGCCAGTTGATGTACAAATGTATGTTATTTTTGCTTAAATTCATTTAAAATTTTTTAAAATAAAGGGGCAGCATCTTTTCAATACTTTGTTTTATCAGCTTTTTTTTTTTTTTTTGGGTGACAGCATGCCCCAGCTACAAGGGCGGTAGTCGCTGTGCTGTGCTGTGCTGTGCTGTGCTGGTGACCCCGAGGCCGCCATCGTGGGGTCGGGTTGAAGGCATTCTCTGCAGGTGTATTTCGTATGCCACTGTGTTTTTTGAAAAGTGAAAAATCAACAACAATATTGGCATACTTAATTTTGTTTTGATTTTCCTATTTTGGTTTTGGGGGGCAAGCTACTCTTCAAGCTTGTTTTTAATGTTGATTTGATAGTGTTTGCTTTTTGTTTTTTTTAAACAAATCATGAAGCTGAAACATTTCTAGGATTGTTGGTGCTTAGTAGACTTGATAACTATTTTAAAAATGCGTGAATTTAGTAAAGTCCTTCCCCCCACCCCCCCTTCACTATGCATGTGTAAATGTTTGTAACCTGGCTTCTGTCCCTCCTCCTAGTGGTATAGAGGAAGACTTGAGCCGCTTTAAGGTTTGTTTGGGGGATTTTTTTTTTTTTCCTCTCAGTAAAAATTTGGTACCTTATTTGGTGTTTACATTAAAATGTGACATTATCCCCTGAAATGCAAATATTTTCCTCATGGTTTTGTTTGAGGAACACTATTAAAGAAGAAATAGAATGTTTGTCGAATATATATCCAAATCCATCTAACTCTGGGGCAGAAAACAACTTGTTTTTCACAACTGTCAGTTCCTCTCTAAAGTAACCCGTTGAACTTGTATAAGCATACTCCATTTTAATGGCGCTCTTAAATAGTCTGTAGTCGACAAATTGTTTGGGCTGAACATTGGTAAAATCCAAGGAAGCCACTTCCCCACCTAAAACTTGTGGTCTTGGGGTATGTTTGAAGCGATGCACGTTCTTACCCTCTTTCCCGATCTAGTAAGTACTTTCATACTTCAGAGAGGTCTCGAAGCTACAGCATGGCTTTTTGAAAAAGAAGTAAGACGACCTTCCTGTTGATCATTCAAAATGTGCTTTGTTTTGTTTTGCCTTCTCCTGGAGGACTATTTGGGAGTAGGCTATCCTGCATTAGAAAGGACAGTTTTGAAGGGGGCTGACAAGCACGCAGCAGGGGGAATGGGACCTTGCCCTCTCCTTTGGGGAGTTCAGGGTCTGTTGGCAGCTTCGGCCTCTGCAGCCTGGGACAGTTGAGGGGGAGTGGGAAAGGATCCTGGTCCATGGGGCAGACAGGGAGTGCCTCGCCTTTCGGCTCAACATGCAGGTGTCTCTGCGTGGCTTCACGTTACACTCTGCTGCCTCTGGGCCAGGTGACATGCCAGCCTGTAGACTGCAGACGTGCTAGTAGTCAGTGTCAATCACCGTGGGAAGACTGAGCCAGTGAGCCCTGCCGCCACACCGCCCTTTGTAGGAGGTCAGATCACTACACTTAGGTTCAGCCGGCATTAGTCAGAAGGAGAGAAGGAAGACACTTGCCTTAGAGCCTGTCCTTCCAACTCCATGTCGAACCCCAAGACATGGCCCTCGTGGCAGTTAGGTGTCTCCGACATGAGGGAGGAGTCCTGCTGGCATGGTCGGATAAGCTGGCACCACTGGACTGCTAGATGCAAAGCCAAGTGTTCAAACCCACCCTCCTGAGGAGAGACCATCTGCTCCTGTACAGCTGTGCCACGCTTTGGAAACCCTATACAGGGTCGCCAAGAGTGTGAATGGACTCGGCGGCAGTGACTTTGGATGTGAGGTCTTGGGTGGTGGTGGTGGCCCTTCCAGAATGTCCAGCGAACCCCTCCCTCATCAGCAAGTCACTGTCCTAGTTTTCTTTTTTCCCAGCTTGAACCTTTAAACAACAATAAAAAACACCTGCTTCATAATAATTTATTTTTAGTAACCAGCATGTGCACCATCGTATGTAAGCCTGAAGGGGCTTCCAAGTTTGTTAGGAAATGGAATGAGACCGTAATGGGATTTTTCTGTGAGCTTACGGAAACTCCCTCAACTATAGGTAAAGAAGCCACGCAGTTCTTTAGACATCTCACTTCTTAGCAGTTATTTCACAAGTTTGGGGCTTTTTCCTAGTCCGCCCCTCTGCTGGACTGGCCCCCGTGCTCCTTTACCGGCGCCTCGGCCGTCAGGACTCAACGTGCTTGCTTCCATCTGACACTCTGCGGGCTGGCGGTGAATGCTGCTTTTCACCGCTACCAAACTTACTCTTTTGTTTTTTTTGCTAACTTTGTTGGTGATTTGGGTGAAAGTTTTACAAAGCAAAATGGTTTTGCACTCAGTGATTGACATTTGATTCCTGACCTCGATGGCCCTTTCTTTCCTACTTCTCCCTTTGTTCACCGCTTTCACTTCCGGCTGTCCTTTCTGATCCCTTCCTGCTTCCTCAGCTTTATCTGTGGGCAGTGTTACCCTTTGTACCTTATCGGACTGTTTGTTTGACTGAAAGTTGAGCCAGGGGGGCTGAATTCAGGTCCAGTCCTGAAGGGTTTCACTAAGGGCCATAGTCTCTGGGGTCACTGCGGTCTCTTTCAAGCCTGGTCGTTTACCTGAGTTTGAGTTCTAGTTCACATTTGTCTCCTGCTCTATCCAGGACCTCATAGTCAGATCTTTCAGAGCGGTCAGCTGCGTAGCCGGGAACTGTCGAGTTCATCTCGTCTCCAGGTCATGGAGACTGGTATTCACATGGTCTATTAGTCTTTCGGACAGTCTCCTAGTATCTTTGATTTTTCCACCAGACTTCCTCATTGCTTTTATGCCTTCTTTCCAGCCCTGTTTCAGACGATCTTATTTAGCCATAGTATCTTGTAAATAGTTTTGCGCAAGTCTTGCTGTAAGAAATATTGCAAGTTTCCATTGAAATGAGGCATGGCTTCTGAATACAGTTGATGATGTTTGGATAGTGTTTGGGTAGTATTAGTAAATGCCCACAAAATAGATTCATAAGTTATAACTTAAACTTTATAAACTAATTTTGACCTTAGAGCTCAGATGGAACTTACATGAAGGGACTTGAACAAGTTCATGGGAAAAAATCCATTATCTTTCAATTCCTTTTTTTTTTTTAATCATTTTATCAGGGGCTCATACAACTCTTATCACAATCCACACACACATCAATTATGTAAAGCGCATTTGTACATTCATTGCCCTCATCATTCTCAAAACATTTCCTCTCCACTCAAGCCCCCGGCACCAGGTCCTCATTTTTCCCCTCCCTCTCCTTTTTTTTTTTTTTTTTTTCATGAACTCTTTGAAGTCCCATATATACATATAAATTTTTTTAAGAAAACTTGATGATAGCCCTCTGATTATACCAAGTATTATAAAGTTCCTTTTTTTCCACAGCAGATTTCTTCTAAGTGAGGTTAATTACTCACATAGTCTTTCCACTTCTTTGTTCTTTATATCACTCTGAAGTTTCCTTTTTCTTGCCAGAAACATTTTTTAAAATTCACTTTTTAATTTCAGTGCTACTTGAGATTTTCCTTTTTTACCTTAGAGAAATTATTTTTGGTGATTTAGCGCTTGTAAAGTAGAACATTCATGTCATCCCACCCCACCTAAAAAGGAACTTCGTTCACACGTGAAGCGCCTCACCCAGTTTACCAGGGAGGCTTGCTTTCTGGAGGCGGCTCGGTGCTGTTCTGTGACAGCAATGCTTTGTTTTGATTAATCAGTGGCTAATTATTGACCATTTAGAGGCAGCTGGCCTCCCTTTCCTCACAGGTCGTTCTGGCATCTGTGAAGTCAAGTGCTTTGAGTGGCTTTTTCATCCCGAGGCTCTCAAATAAGTTCAGATTCCTTGTAAACATCAGACTGGTTTTCAGTTCAAAGAACTGCAGAATAAGTGGAAATAAGCAGAATTCCCACTGTAGACACAATTAAACCCAGCAATCGCAAAGACCTATTTATGAAAAATAGGTTCCTTGTTTATGGAAGCATTGAAGTTGCTGAGAAAGCTAACTGGATCACCCAACTTTGGGATGATTAATATACGCTGTTGCTTCTGGCTAGTGTGGTTGGTTGTACATGTGTAAGGTTTTTCATGCACGTGCATCTTGAGAGCAAAGCTGCGAGCATTTAAGACCCAAAGAGAGCCAGGGAGTGAAAAAGAATACCCAGACTATTGCTATTGCTATTGCGACAATTTCTGTTAGGAAAGGGAGATTCAGTCAGTTACAAAGAGGCATCTGTTGTACTTAGCATTGTTTCATGTTGGTGTTGTGTTTTAAAAGGGAATCCCAGAAGTAAAAAAAAATACATATATGCATAAACACACACACATAAATACAAGGTTAAAAAAATGAATCAGACTGAAAGATAGGAATGAAAATATTTAGGGCTTTCCTTCTAGCCCTTCAAAGGTAATCATTTGCCTTTTCTGATTTACATTATTGCCAGCACACTGTTCCTTTACCATCTGAAAGCCCTCCTTCCCATCACTGCGCTGAGTGCCTTCCTGCATCTCCAAGTCAGTATCTTTTAGTGGATCTAATTTCCCTCTCTCCTCCTGGCCATCTGAAGTTAGAAAAAAACAGATAATACTCTAATTATGATCTTGTTCAAACTATCACGTAGTGGTACCAGCCACATATCAGGATGTCATCCTTCAAAGGACTTCTCACGGCCCCCATCCGCTGGAGGTGGGGCCTCGACTGAGATTTTCTCCTGTGAAGCTGCTAAATTCACACATCCTCTGTTCACACCTGTTTAATTAGCAATTTGGAGGCCGTTATTACAGGGAGGGACTCTCATGGTTAACATTCTGATTAAAAACACCTTTGGGAAATTGTATCATGCTATTACTTGAGGCTGGAACCTCAGTTGAAAGAGAACACTAAATTCTGGTTGAAAAGATGGACTTCCCAGTGAGCGTTGGGAAAATGACTCACTCCTGTGAGCTGCTCCACCTCTTTGGAAGTGCAATACGGCACAGAGGACTCTTGGCTTAGAAATGTGAGCTGCAGTTACAGCCGAAACCAGCATGTCAGCAAAGCCCAGGGACATC